GGAGGTATCAGAAGGAGTTGACCGATAGTCCACATCTTCGAACCTGATCTAAGTTTGGAAGAAATAATAAGATAGGCACAGGTTGGATGAAATCAAAATTTTCTGGAACATGATTCACATTATGGTTTACATAATCGCGTTGTAGAAATGTCGGTATAGGTCCACTTTTTGGTATTTGACACAGGTTCAGTATGTTGCACCATATTGGTTATTTGGTGCACAATTTCCATGAAATCGTTCAATAATATATATTAGTGTAATATAATCATCGCCACCAGTTTCATCGAAACTCAATGAAGTCATTTTATGCTCAAATTTTCAAAATTTTGTGTAAATTGTGAGTCTTTGGTAAGCCAAAACAAACTTAGGATCTTTATATTTAAATATGAAACGATTTATTTGGTACGTTGTGCAAAATATTGGGTTAGGCAAACTTTGGTGATCTATTGTGGTATCGGACTAAATTGGAATCGATATACAGTCGAATTGGGATAAGCAAACGCCGGTTTATCGAAAAAATCGGTTAATTGAAACTAAAAAATTAAAGTAGTAAGTAGAAAACTCGGACTGGGCCGACTATATGATACCCTTCACCACTTTGGGTATATTGTACATATGTATTCTTACAATTACATGAAATTGTTCCCTCGAAAGATCATACTCATGTCTTTCTGCAATCTATGATAAATTTAATTTTATTCGGCCAGATTTAGTATCGTCTGCGAACCATGGGACAAATTTATGGAAAACGATTTATAGCAAAATTGATGTTAAAAATTTAATTTTCATCAGAATTCGAAATACATATTGAAGCTATGGCTGCATATGCACCAATTTCAATGCAACGCAATAAACATTGGTAGTTTGGTCTACCATTTATGTAAAATCGGACGAATATATACGTATATGTGAATCGTTTTTTCGAAGGATATATAGGGACTTTGGTGCAACATTTACATACAATTGGACGAAAATACATATGGAAGCTATATCGAAATCTGAACCGATTTTCCCGAAACTCATTCTAGACTTAGTTCAGTACACTATGCCAAATTTCGAGCACATCGAAGGATATATAGCAACTTTGCTGCAGTATTTACCTAAAATCGGACGAAAATATATATGGGAGCTATATCTAAATCTGAAACGGTTTTCACGAAATTTAACACATATCGTTCTAGACGTAAATCCTTAAGTTATGCTATATTTCGTGCAAATCGAAGGATATAAAGGGACTTTTTGCACCATTTACATAAAATCGGACGAAAATATATATGGGAGCTATATCTATATCTGAATCGATTTTCACGAAACTTAGGACGCATCATTCTGGGCCTAATTCAGTACCCTATGCCAAATTTTGAGCAAATTGAAATATATATAAGGACCCCATTTACCTTAAAACGGATGAAAATATGTATGTGAGCTATATCTAAATCTGACCCGATTTGACACACGCCATCCTAGACTCAATTCAGTACACTATGCTAAATTTCGTACAAATCAAAAGATATATAGGGACTTTGGTGCACCATTTACATAAAATCGGACGAAAATATATATGGGAGCTATATCTATATCTGAACCGATTTTCACGAAACTTAGGACGCATCATTCTGGACCTAATTCAGTGCCCTATGCCAAATTTCGAGCAAATTGAAAGATATATATGGACTTCGGTGCCCCATTTACCTTAAATCGGACGAAAATATGTATGGGAGCAATATCTAAACCTGACCCGATTTCTTCGAAACTTGACACACGTCATTCTAGACTCAATTCAGTACACTATGCTAAATTTCGTGCAAATCGAATGATATATAGGGACTTTGGTGCACCATTTACATAAAATCGGACGAAAATATATGGGAGCTATATATATATCTGAACCGATTTTCACGGATCTTTGGACGCATCATTCTGACTTAATTCAGTACCCTATGCCAAATTTCGAGCAAATCGAAAGATATATAGGGACTTTGGTGCCCCATTTACCTTAAATCGGACGAAAATATGTATTGGACCTTATCTAAATCTGACCCGAAACTTGACACACGTGATTCTAGACTCAATTCAGTACACTAAGCCAAAATTCGTGCAAATCGAATGATTTTCAGGGAGTTTGGTGCACCATTTACATAAAATCGGACGAAAATATATATGGGAGCTATATCTAAATCTGAACCGATTTTCACGAAACTTAACACACATCATTCTAGACCTAATTCATTACGCTATGCCAAATTTCGTGCAAATTGGTAGATATATAGGAACTTTGGTACACCATTTACATTAAATCGGACGAAAATATATATGGGAGCTATATTTAAATCTGAACCGATTTTTCCCAATTTCAATAGGGTTCGTCCTTAGGCCAAATAAGTGTCCTATGCCAAATGTCATCCAATTTGGATCATAAATTCGACCTGTACTTTGTTTACTATTTAACATGGACAGACAGACGGACGGACGGACATGCATAAATCGACTATGCATATTCTCAAAAGGAACCATGTGTCTATCTCGTTTCCTTTTGCCTGTTACAAACATATGCACAAAGACATAATACCCTGTACCACAGTGTGGTGAAGGGTATAAAAATGCATGTTATGAATGAAATGTTCACTAAATTCGGAAAATATGCCAGAGTACGAAAGAGGAACTTTTGATGTATCAAGAGGATGTAATCATCGCAAAATATTGCCCATGCTCGGTATATAGATCATCAGAATGTTAGAGTTCCGTGGTAGTTGTATATGGTAGCATATGGTCGGCTCCGTCCGACTACAGCAACGTACATAGGATTTCATTTCGGGAGGGGGGCCCGGCAGTACAAAATGAAAAAATTCGCTGTTGCAAACATAAATTTACTGTGAAAAAAATTAATTTCGGGGGGGGTGGGGGGTTGTCTGTGCCCCCCGGGCCGCCGCCCTGCGTACGTCCCTGCTCCGCTCTATGGTATATATATACTTACTTTTACGATTAACTGTGTGTAAGAGAGTTAATGTGTAAAAATCTGATATTGTAAGTTTCTTCCACAACATAATATTCGATGGAGAACAGATTCCGAGTAACCCAGGCAGTACTAAGCCTACAAGCTTATTTACACTAATAAACGTAACGTATAAATTATTATAGAGAACTATCGGACTCATCTACAACATTTACCTTTAATATATCTCACTATGCCATATAGTTTAAGAAGTTGTTCTGACCTTAGACTGACATAACTATCTTAAAAGCCGTAGGAGTTAGGAGGCTGACTGCACCAAAGGGGAAAATGGAAACAACAGCAATGCGAAGAAAGCGAGGTGGTACTACAGAGACGAGCAGTGATGTATGACAAGAGTCAACGTCCGACACCAAGGTGTAGAAGAAGAAGCCTATGCAATATCTTCATAGTCACCTATTTACATTTTGTGGTATGCCGTTATGTGGTATGCCGATGAGGGTGACGTAGGGGATGCTAGATACCAAGCAACGGCTCTGATTGGCTTAAACGTGGTTAAGTCCATGCTTATCTTTGTCAATTTTTCATCTCAATTGTGGACACTGACCTCCCCTTGGTGTAGCTACATTCATTATCCCTTGGAATATTGAGCTGACATGTGCCGCGACTTCACCCATAAGAACTATAACAAAAGGGTTAGTTGCCCATACTCGGGAGCCCCTTCCTACTACGAAAAAAAAAACAACGAAAAAGGAAACCACAACCCCCTAATGTTAACGACCCCGCAAGCGTATAAAGGACCGCAATCTGTGAATCTGCACTTGGAATGTGCGCGAGTTGTACACAACAGACGCAGTTTTCGCTCTGGCAGAAGTACCCAAGAAGTACAAAGCCGATATTATTGCCTTACAGAAAATGCAATGAATGGAAAGGGACTGGTGTAAGTAAATCAGATGATTACGCCCTTTATTATAACTGCCTCTTCTTCAGATCCGTATAAAAGCGAAGTTCTTCTACATCAGCGCCTAGAAACAGTATATGACCGCTGCCATGGCCTTGACATTAAAATTCTGCTAGGAGATTTTAATGTAATAATTAATTCAGCCGACAACGGCATGAGGTTGATTGACTTCGCGGCAGCAATAAACATGGTAGTTAGCACCACCAGATCCAAGAATCTCTATATACACAAGGCCACCAGAATTTCTCCCGATCAAGAAACGAGAAATCAAATTGCGAGTTTTAGACGTTAGATCGAATATCGATTCGGACCATTACATTGTAGCAGTCAAGGTTCGCACTCGCCTTAATGTAGCAGCAAAGTTGTGATCTAAGCAGGTAGCAGAAGCCTACTCGCTCAACATGCTAGTCGAAAGCACTCCGTGTCCCTATAAAAATATAGAAGCACAATGGCAAAGAATTGCTCAATCGGACAAATATTGGGAGTTTGGAGTATCATTCACAACAAATCGGACGAAATTATATATATGGAAGCTATATCTAAATCTGAACCGATTTTAACAAAATTTCGCGGACATCAGTCTGGACCTAAGTCAGTACTCTTTGCAGAATGTTGTCCCAATCGGACAAATATTGGGAGTTTCGTGCATCATTCACATAAAATCGGACAAAACTATATATGAGAGCTATATCTAAATCTGAACCGATTCCAACAAAACTTCGCATGCATATGTACCCAATTCAGTACTCTGTGCAAAATGTCAATGTAGAGGAATATTTAGATGAACGATTGTATCAAAATAAACTAGGTGAACGAGAGTAAAATCACCGAGCTTGGTCCAAACAAAGTGTACGAATGTAAGGCTGTTGCAGGCTTAGTTATATTGATAGCGAGGCCCAAATCGCGATCGCCACATTTAATATAATTATTACCATGATATCAAATGTTTCGGATCAATGCTATTTACAAAGCTTTGCCGATCAAAAAAGCTTCGTATAAATTTAATAATGAATTGCCAAAAATGAAAGCCATTAATTTACAGCCATATGGAGCCCTGATAAAAAGTACAAAAGTCCCAAAAAATCTTACCTTTCATTGGTGCACGATTGCTGTCAAAACGATCATTATCATCATAGGATCCAGGACGTTCTGAAAATAAAACAAAACAAAAAAATAATTATCAAAGCTTTCCAGCACTGGATTAATATTTGAACTCACTTTTATTACCCGGCAAGTAGTCATCCGGATTAAAATAGGTATTGATTTTCTTATCATCATGATAACCATTCGGCGGACGACTGGCAGCTGTGCCATTACGCCGGACATAGTTGTTGTCATAGCCATTACCACCATTACTGGGACCATAGGGGGCTGATGTAGAAGGTCTTGCAGATCCGTCTAATGGTGGATCAGGGCGATTTGTATAGTCCACAAAGCCATCCGGCTGTGGTGATGATGGCCGAGAGCCATAGGGCGAGGGAGAGGAATTATGGCCATTATTATTTTCAGGACGTGGAGCATAGCCGGGATGACGATCATTTTCTGGCCGTGGACTGTATTGTGATCCGCCAATGCGATCATTATCCGGTCTGGGACCATATGGTGGGCCACCATTGCGATCATTGTCTGGCCTGGGACCATATGGTGGTCCACCATTGCGATCATTGTTGGGCCTTGAACCATATTGTGAGCCCGAGCCATTATTCTCTCCATTTGTTGGTCTGGAACCGTAAGGTGACGTGGAAGATGTCGAATCACCATTTCCCGGCCTGGGACCATAGGGGGCTGTGGCCGAATTATGTTCATTATTCGAGGGTCTTGAATCGGAATAGTATCCCGGTGTGGTATTATCATAACCTGGCAAACGCATGGGATCACGGTGAGAAGTTTCATAGTTGGGTCTATTGGGTCTTGGTGAATTCGGAGAATAACCTGAATCTTCGGGCCGCATTGTGGAAGGATTATATGATTCTGGCAGGCCATAACTATAACCATTACCATAACCTAGACCAAATATTGGTTTTGGTGGACCATTGGGATGTTGTGGAACTGGTGGTGGCCTTGAGCCATCGTATGATGTAGGACGATCACCCACCTCCTGAGCATTGGAAGCATAGCCACCAGGTATATAGACATCTTGATTCGGGGCAGGATAATTGGGTTCATACAATGTGGGATATTTAAACAAAGGATAAACATCCTGAGAAAAATACAATCGATCTCCATTCGGTGAGGCAGGTGTGGTGGGTACCGTAGAATCCAATGTGGTTTGTTGACCCCGATTGTATAGCGTTGTCTCACTATATCCAGATGTGGGCGAGGGATATCTTGTGTTTTCATCTTCCACCGTGGTTATTACCGTGGGTGTGGGATCAACCACCAAGAGTGGTGTACCAGGTGAAGGCCTTGTGGACAAGAATACGGGAGTTGTGGGTGCCAAACTACTACCATACCCGCTCGTTTCAGCCAAATTCTCATTCGGATCATCCAAATCAAAACAATTTGTTTTACGCGCATACAAATCAAAGTCTGGATCAAATATCACCCCGTTTGGTCTTCCTCCCGAACCACCGAATTTTTCTTTCGACAATTGACAGGTACCATTTCCACGTCGATGAACACTGCAAAGAGGGAAAATTAAAATGTCTGTGATGTAATTTGTATGTTGTCGTTGCGAGATGTCAGACTTACCCAAATGAAATTGATTGACACTTGTCACCCTCCTGCAGACACTTCTCCTTGCAACTTCTCAACGAATTGGTATCTTCGGTGCGAAATGTCTTCTCAAATGGCATCATAGCCTCCAGAGCAATGCGTTCAAAGCAATCTGCAATGAAAATGAGGAAACAAAAATACATTACAAAATTGACAGGTACTTAGCGGAATGGCGTTGGAGTTTGTAATCGATTTGATGTTTTTCCATAGGCTTGTGAAATTTTATAGGGGAAATTGCTTAAGGTTTTGTTGAAACTGCCTATACAGAAATCTATAAAATCGTTTGTCAAGATAAAAACGAAACAAATTAGTTTATGGAACCAGGAAAATGTTCACAAATAGGTTTTCAACCAAATATGGCCATATAATCTATCCTCGGAATAGAAATGTAAATAAATTATTTATAACACTATGAGGCAAAATCGGAGCCATGGCCTGGGGGTGGAAAATTCCAATTGGGTATGAAAGAGCTCGGTGTGTATATGAAAACCCCAGAAGGAAAAATCATTAAAACGCTAGAAAGATACTTTATTGACTGCCGACCCTATTATATATAAAGCGATTGAGATTACATTTCAGCAGTAAAATAGACTGAGGAATTTGCTTGTAAAATGTTTCGTCCTTTTAACTCGAATCCTTGTAGGTAATTTTCGTCATTAGTTTATTGAACAAAACTCCAATTATCACAAGATGTGATTTTTCATCCTCGCAATGTTCTCTACAAAGCCATCGGTCAACACTGCTTCAGAGTTGGGGAACCACAGAGGAAGTGCAATCCCTGTAAGGATATCTCCAAACTCACAACCAGGAAGAAGCAGTTATCTGGGGCACAAAGGCGGAAGTTGGCCAAAATTAACGGCATGAACAAAAAGTTGGATAAGCATATAAAGGCTCAAAGGGATAAGCCTGACATTCCCTTCACTTCTGCTGAAGCGGCGAAGAGGATAAAGTCTCCGGATGAGCAGACGACTGTCAAATTTGCCAAAAAAAAGAGCTTCCCGTCGACCGATAGTAAGAGAAAAATGAGGCAACCAAAATCGAAGGACACTGTCACCAGAATACACTGACGATGTTAGACAAAGCTGGCTCTGATATCAGGAAAACTGAGTCGGAATCTTCCGCAAAGACCGGAATATAGTGCGTCCGCTAAGCTGAAAAAAGACCCATAAGGAAGTGTTGAATGTGGTCAAGAACAAGATCATGGAGCACCTACGTCAAGGAGGCGACTCCATTGACCTGATTAGCTGCGCTTTCAAAGGGCACTATTTAATGCTAGAATTTAAATCACCAAATAGCATAGAAGCCCCAAGGAAACTAGTGGTAAGCATTGGATCATTGATGGAACAATCAAACTCAATATGGTGAGGAAAAAAGTCTTCGTCTGAAGTTGGGGCTTGAGGTCTTCAGCCTGCAGAACAAGACACTGCTTGTGAAGAAATGGGAAGTCTTCCACAGTGATGAGAACGAGGATGGAACTCTCCTTGTTTTAGGCTTGGACAGGTCTTCAGCGGCAAGTCCCAAAAAAACCGGTGACTAGAGGACAACTGAAAGAAGTCATGCAGATTAAGCTTCATCGGAGCGAGACGGCAACCCTGGTGGAAAAAAAGGTGAAATACACATCGGACTGATCCAGGAACCCTGGACAATTAAAAATAAGGTCTCTGGGTTGAGCCATATAAATTACTAACTCTTCTATGCAAATACGGGTTCTCGGCCGAGAACCTGTATGATATGTCACGAAAATGTATGCTTCTCCCCAGAGTTGTCAACATCGGACGTCACTTTACTGAAGCAGGGGAGTGGTAACATTTACCTGGTATCAGTATATCTCCGTTCGACTCGCCGATACCACCACCAACGGCGGAGATGCAGCGACTGGTGATGAATGCAGAGAAAACGGCTAAGGAAGTACTAATTGGTAGTGATGCTAACTCACATCACATTGCGTGGGTAGTCTTAACACTAACAAAAAGGAGCCGGACCCCTCTAGATTATTTGAATACTAACGATCTAAAAACCCTTAACATAGGCAATAAACCTACCTTTGTTCACAGAATTAGAGAGGAGGTATTAAATATAACAATATGTTCAGCAAACTTAATAGATAAGGTCCAGAATTGTAGAGTCTCAGAAGAGTAATCCTTTTCTTACCACAAATATATTATGTTAAAAATCCTACGTCCACCGGTGAAACCCATATACTTCCGAAAAAAGTCTAAAACTAACTGGATTGGGCAACCCAATTATGAGTGCCTAGACACGACCTTTTTTAACCCGTATTGCTTAATATACCTGATAAATAAATATTTCTTCCAAACTTAGTTCAAGTTCGAAGATGGGTAATATCGGTCTACTCCTTTTGGTACCTCCCAAACAGGGGCTAGACCTAAATGCGGGTTATAGTTCATATATAGTTCATTATCGAACAGTACGTTCTAATTTTTTATCTCGACATCCTCCGCAGATGAAATGATTACAACCGAGTTTTAGAACATATAATTATTTTAATATAAATAAAAATGGGGTTATATGGGGACTACCCCTAAAAGGGGGTGAATATTAATAATTTTTAGTAAAGAGATTTTTTATCATATACTACTAGAAAATACCAAATTATATCGAATTCAGTCGAAAAACGGGCTAAAGAACCCCAAAAAAACCGAAAATTGGGGGTACTGTTATATGGGAGCTATGCCTAAACGTGGACCAATATATACCATTTTCGAACTTGACCTGCCTGCAAACAAAAGACAAACCTGTGCAAAATTTCAGTTCCCTATATCAATTTCTTCAGAAGATTACAACAGACGGACGGACATATATTTTTTAGGGTCGGAAATGAAAATTTCGATGAGTTACAAATGGAATGACTAAATTAATATACCCTCCATAATATGGTGGAGGCTATAAAAACAATAGGGGTCGTGAAGATTGTGGTCTGTATTGTGTTTACACATTATAATGGAACGACTGACTGACACACATGTCTAGATCGTCTCAGCTATTCAAGATATGATATGATCGGTGTCCTTTAAGGTGGGTCTAGGACCAACATTTCACGGCGTTGCAAACTCTTGGGGCTGCACAAAGCTATAATACCCTAACAACATAGTTGTGTAGGGTATTTTTAAATCTGAACCGGTGTCAAAAATTTTACGTGGACATGCAAAAATCTGCCCGGAAAGTGATTCTATGCATATTATCAAAAAAAAGAAAAAAAAAACAGTAAGGAAAGTAGTAAAGTCGGACTGGGCCGACTATATGGCACCCTTCACCACTTTGGGTACATATGTATCCGAAAAGACGTCGCCTTTTTGAAAGAATTTTGACATGAAATTGAACGAACTTAAATATGTGATTTTTATGTCTTTCTGGAACATATTCTAAATTTCATTTCATTTGGGCAAGTTTAGAGTCGTTTGCGCACAGTGGGACAGATTTGTGTAAATCGATTCAAAGCAAAATTGACACAAGCTATTCCGTATGCTGCACTATTTAACATTTAATCTCAATAAATAAGTCGAAATTATATATGGAAGCTACGAGATATCTATATATGAACCGATTTGAAGCAAACTTGGCAGAGATTAATTTATATTAATCTCTGGCAATACGTTGTGTCAATCGGCTTAACTGTAGATCTTTAGTGCACAATTTACCTTAATTCGGACGAAAATATATATAGGAGGTGTACACATCATTCCAGACTTAATTCAATACGTTATGCCAAAATTCGTGCAAATCGAATGATTTGTAGAGACTTTGGTGTACCATTTACCTAAAATCGGGCGAAACTATATACGGGAGCACACATCATTCTAGACCTAATTCAGTAGGCTATACCAAATTTCGTGCAAATCGAAAGATATATAGGGACTTTGGTAACCCATTTACATTAAATCGGACGAAACTATATATGGGAGCTATATCCAAAACTGAACCGATTTTCTCCAATTTCAATAGGGTTCGTCCTTGGGCCAAACAAGTGACATGTGCCAAATTTCATCCAAATCGGATCATAAATGCGACCTGTATTTTGTTCACAAAAATACATGGACGGACGGACGGACATGCATAAATCGACTCAGAAAGTGATTCTATGCATATTCTCAAAAGGAACCATGGGTCTATCTCGATTATTTTTGTTATCTCGATTATTTGCCATATACACAAAGACATAATACCCTGTACCACAGTGTGGTGTAGGGTATAAAAATGGAGTTACATGGGGACTACCCCAAAAAGGGGGGCGAATATTAATAATTTTTGGTGGAGAGATTTCTTACAATATACGACTACAAAATACCAAATTGCAGCGAATTCGGTAGAAAAACGCTCTCAATAACCCCAAAATACCAAAAATTGGGGGTACCTTATATGTGGACTATCCGAAAAAATTGACCTATACGCATAATTTACCTATTAAGAACTTAAAATACTAAATTACAGCCAATTCGGTGGAAAATACTATCAAAACCCCTAAAATACTGAAAATTAGGAGGTACCGTTATATGTGGGCTACCAGAACAAGTGGACCTATATTTATAATTTATTGTGGAGACATGACGATTTTGGGGTCGTGAAGATTGTGGCCTGTATCGTGTTTAAAATTATCATGGAACGTCTGACGGACACACATGTCTAGATCGACTCAGCTAGACGAGGACCAACATTTCACGGCGTTACAAACTCTTGGGGCTGCACAAAGCTATAATAATAAGGACTTTTTAAATCTGAACCGATGTAAAAAAACTTCCTCCTATTTTAATAGGGGTCGTCCTTGGGTCCAATAAATGAGCTGTACCAACTTTCATCCTGTTCCTATAAAAATTTTAAAGTGGACATTTTTTAGGTGGACATTTAACGGACATGCCTAAATCCGTCCGGAAAGTGATTCTATGCATATTCTCCAAAATAACTATAGGTCTATCCCGTTTCTTTTAGCATATTAAAAACATATGGACAAAGACAGTGTGGCGAATGGTATGAAAATGCCAAAATAGAGGGTGTTCACGATTCAAGATCAAATTACAGCACATCTAAAGGGATCTGTTAAAGTCAATTTTATGTGAAATGCGAAGATTAAGAAGTTTATTTATCCTTTGTGGTTTTCTTAAAAAACTTTTTAAATATAGATAATTTG